CATCCATCCATCCATCCATCCATCCATCCATCCATCCATCCATCCATCCATCCATCCATCCATCCATCCATCCATGAATTAAATTTGAAGGCTCCTCAGGCTTTTCTTTGTTGTGACAGAAAGAAAGAAAAACACATTTTACAGTTGGCCTTTCTTATTTAAACTGACATCATTTATCTTCCTTTTTTTTACATATGAAGTTGAGAAAAAGGTCGATTCTAAGTTGCAAACATTAACCACTAGAGGGAGACATTTATCTGTCCTCAACCTCTGAGGCTTTAAGATGATATGATGAAGTCAGCATATTTTAAAGCTTTTAGGCTGAATTAGAGAAGGTGTAGAAAAAAAAAAGGTTTCAGAACTTGGAGCTGAAATGTTCAATTATAATCTTAATAAAGTATGTAGGTTATGTGAGCTGGCTTCATTGCCAACTGCTTGTAGATTTCAACACAGGAATTATTTGATAAGATAGCAATCATTAAGTAAGAAGGGACATTAAGAGTAGTTCTGTTACTTCAAAGAGAAATACCCCTCCCAAAAAAATTATACTAATTTCATTTTGTTGTTCATTTCTTTTTCACCCTGCCGCTTGGTGACAGCTAATCTAATTTCCCTCCTAGTCCAGGAAGAGTGGCCACCACTAATTGCTCTCTCCCCCGTTAGTGCAAACCTCTCCCCGACCACACCATTGGGATCCGGCAAGTATATGCTTCATCATGCTTTGCCAACAGGGCGGTGTGGAAATTGGAGCCTCATTGTTTGCAGAGAAGCCTCTTGTGATCTGAGTCTCTCACGAGAGCGGCAGTTGTGTACAGTTGTGATTAAGATTTGCAACGACACATAGAATCAATGCAAGCTCAGAGGGAGGGACATCCTGTGGGAGACGATGGACTGAACAGCAGGGAGAAGGAGCTCTCTGCATAGAGAGGTCCATTATTCCTCTTCTAAACTTCCTCTCTCAGGAGAAGGAACCAAATGGATGCATTAATAATACTTCCCCCATCTGTGGAGGAGCTAATGGAGCCTTGAGTGCTGATTAAGGCTGGGAAGATCTCAGCATGGAGGAGGAGTATCAGTTTCAGTCTCCCTGTTGACTTTCATGGTGCTCACACTGAACCACTTCTCTTAGTGGTGCTTAATTGGCCAAACCCTTCAGTTAGATGCTGGATTGTCTTTGTTCTCTCCTTATAAACACAATATTCCTGTCAGACGTTTAGATGCACTCATCGTTGAATGTCGTATTAATTTAAAAGCCTTTTATTATAGATCTGAGATCTTCCTTTTCTCTGTTGGAACGATTTAATGGAACATGCATTCTATGATTTCTAAAAAAACAGGAACTGGAAGCAATAGTTTTTTTTGACCAATACAGGTTTAAAGTTATATTAACATATGCTAGCAAGCTGCTCCTCACCATGCTGAAATAATGTAACCAAAGTAAGTCATTTTCTCTTAAAATAAGTGCATTTTGTCTTGAATTGAGGAGGTAAGCGAGCCCATTTCCAATAAATTTAAACTTAAGATAAGGAATAACAATTGCATTGTCTCATTCGAAGTGCATATTATCTAATTATCTTATTTTAATAGTATAAATAATAATTCAATTGGAAAATCATCTTATTTACTTTCTTAAATTAAGGGTAAATATACTTAATTTAAGAATTCTTTTTACTTATTTCCAGGTTGTTTTTGCAGTGTGTATGATTTTCAAGCTAACAAAATCTCTAATTTAAAGAGTTTATGGTGTTATCTAACTATACTGAAAGAAAATCAGACATGGTTGTAGCTTTGGGAAGGTAATCCTACAGGTTCAATGTGTGTTGTGGTCAATATACTGTTTTTGATCCAAAGGGTTCATTTAAAAAAAGAAAACACAGAAACTGCAAAGCCTTTAAGCTGCTATGAAAGAAACACTGAAGTCAGGTTTATATCTAAAACGGTGACAAACAAGAAATAAACTCAGAATGCTCAATCTGGACTGAATTATGCAGCTACCAACATAGACAAGACATGTGTTATGGTACGACGAGGCTAGAATGAGCTGCTTGGCTGCTGCAACAAGATGGATAGTCAAGATGAGGCCCTTAAATACATTTTTTTTATTTTCTAGAAGTATGGATTCCATATTTAAGAGGAGCTAGAATCAAATTCAACAATAAAATAAGCAGCTTGGTGAATAAGATCTGGACACACTTGGTTGCATCTCGAACACAAATCAAAACCAGTTTGTAGAACAAAGCAGGCAAACATCGAGCTTCTGGAAAAACCTGATCTAACTAGTTTTTTTAAAGTTTTTTTTTAAAGTTTTTTAATTTAACTCAACCATTTCTTCCTTTAAAGGGAAACGGATTTACAGACAGAGTCAGGTTAGATGCAATCTTTCTTTTTTCTTCTTTTTGTCATTTGAGAAAAAATGAAATAAATTAAAACTTCTGCTCCTTGTTAGAAAAAAAAAAACATCTCTATAGATGTAAGCTGAATATAATTTAACAGAGCAACAAAAACAGCAAATAAATAATTTTAAGGTCAAATAAAATGAGATGCTCAGAGGGTGTTAATTTGATCTGTACCTACGTAGATCTAAATGCTCTCTGACGTGTTCGTCTTACTAAAACAAGCTCAACAAAAGAAGCTACGGATCCGGTTCGGCCTGTTTAGTTTGAGAAAAGCATCACGAAGAAGACAGAAGTCATTTTAAAAGCATTTTTAGTTCCCTATTTCAGAAGATTGTCCTTCATACATTAACGTGCAAAGATGTGCTGACATTTAAATATAAATTCACAACATTTGGATCAAAATGACAGAATTTATCATCCAGTTCACATCAGTTCTTTAAAGCTTCTTCAAGTAAAAGTGCAATGAAAGTCATTTCCTCTCCACCAGTGTCTGAGAATCTCAGCGGTCCAGTTTCAGGCCGACTAGTAGCGGCTCCTCCGGGGGTTTATCACACATCCTGTAATGAGGCTGCAGGAAGATGGCATTCAGGGTGCCTCATTATGATCCATCCTTCCTCTCCTCATCGTGAGGTGGCAGGCTTTTAAAGCAACCCCGATTTGACCCAATCTTCCCTCATCCAAACTGGGACCATCCAGGGTCATCACAATATGTCCGGTTTGCGGAGGTTGAGCTCCTCCTCCGACACAGTGAGATTCCCGAGGTACCAGAATATCCACAGAACCAGGCTGAGGAAGATGAGCAGCGGCCCAGAGAGAACAAAAAAGTCCCAGTAAGGCAGCGGAGCAAAGATCCCGATGAGGAGCAGGAGGAGGCCCACGATGTCCAAAAAGATGGCCAGACCTATGAAGAAACTGGTGCACTTTCCCTGCTCCATGGTGGGCCTGGTGGCTCAGACGGCTGGATGTCGGATGGCGGAGCGACAAGACTGAGAGCCGGTCTCTTGAGAAAAATGCTTTTCTGGTCTTAAGGAACATTGTTATTCATTGAAAGCACGCCTTACATTTCTCTCATAGCTGAGGACTGGGTGGTAGGACCGGTAGGGAACCTGCCACATCTATGGGTTGGACTTCCCAGCTGAAAGTCCAGTTTCATTCCTGCAGGCCAGACTTGTTTTTCATCTCTTAATGTCATCGTTGTAAACCAACGACCCATTGTCTGAGAGAAGAGGAACAGATTTATGCACATTTGTTTAGGCTAATTTAGTTCCAGCTCCGGAATGTGCAATTAATCTAAACAGGGCATATAAAAAAAAAACTGAAAATATTCTCTTTTGGGGAGAATTAACTTCCTGTCAATAAATGTTATTTAGTTTGAGACTTTTTAATTAGTCACTATCAGTTCATCCCAGTAGAATGGATGCCTGCTGCTTGGGGGACATCAGAAAGAGGAAATGAACCAAATGGTTGGTTATCCACCCAGCCGTTGTTTGGCCAGTCCAACCGCCACTATCCATCCTCAGGCCTTTTTCACTCATACTTCTGTTATAGGAAGCGACATATCAGAGATGAACGAGGATATATTTACTGCAACAACGGCGTTGGACTGAAAATATGACTTTTCAGAGAAGAAAAGAGCTGATATTTGCGCTGTTACCTTCAGTCAGAAGTTTTTTTTTTCTTTTTACAGTTTTTTTCCCTTTATGTACACACCTCAACTCTTAGCTATTGTTTCATAGATTACCCCCCCCATACGGTCAGCAGGACTCAGTGGAGGATTTTTATACCACAACAAACAAAAGTGCTCTGAGAAGTCAAACCAGTTGGACCAGAGTGTCTGTTGCTGCGACCAAACAGGAAACATGACTTGCCTTTTCTGTGTCATGTAACACCCACCCATTGAAAACAAGACTGCTTTTACAATGAAACGTCAGACTTTATATTTTGTAAATAGAATTTCATTCTATCAATTTGACAACATATTATTACAGAGTTCGAACCACTTCTTTTACCCGTCCGTCTAAATGAAACCATTATTTTATGTTTACAGCCGAACCACACAATCTGTACCCGCACATTACCAGAATAAGAAAGCAGCTTACAGAGAAATAAAACAATCACACATCTTTCACCTGAAATGAGTTGAAATGTCAATGCTAAAATAACAACAAAAAAAACTGATAGAATAAATAATGAAAAATAAATCACAAAACTGCTTGAAAAGAAATGTCTAGTTTATCTAAATTTGACCATTTAACCAAAAATTTCCTTCACTCGACCAATTTACATTCAGTGCTCATCCAAGATGTTTATTTCTGAGCTGAACGATCATAAAATCATCTAAAAGGCAAATTAATTTAGGACTGAAAAACTCTTCCTGTTTACATTTTCACAGTAATACGTCCTTTTCTATTATTTTAAATTAATGACAGGACAGAATTGGAATCAGCATTCATTAATCGCTGTCGTTCTTTGTGCACATTTCTACTGGTCTTTAGTCTTAGAGATAGCAAAGCCTCCTAACCATCACCTTAATCTTTTGTAGGCTGAGTCACTTTAAATAAAGCTGCAGTTAGATCTTCAATCTCTGTCTGTTTAACTTTAACAGGGTTTTTAAAGCAACATGTAAAAGTGCAACAAACATAATCTTAGATGAGAAAAGCCTGCACCAATATCAGGTTCACCATCATAAGTGATTAAATAACATGAAAAAAGACTAAATATATATTACTTTATCCTATAAAAGTTCAAGTGAGATTTCCTTTTAAAGGATTATTTGAAATAATGAACCAAAACTGCACATTTTCTCCTATTTCTGTTAAACATGAGACATTGATGAAACCTTGGACACCTTTAAGCTTCATGAATATAATCATAGACATGCATGCTTGACTTAGAGACCATCTTCAGTCATTTTCTAAGAAATGCATCTTATAAAGTCAACATATATTAGTTGAATCCAACGCTTCTTCCTTCATATGAAGCTGAGGATAGATCCTATAAGAGCAGCTAAATGCAAACATGGAAGCAGAGTGTTTTGGTCTGTCAGTCCACCGACTGCTCTACAGAGGGGGGGTCCGTGGAGTCTGGAGTGGGGGGGTCCATGTAGCTGTCATAGCCCTCGTTGGAATAGGCCGTGGATTTCCCCCACGTCACCCTGCCAGGTTTCAGTGGAGGAGTCCCCATCTGGCTGAGGTTCTCATCCTCCACGACGCACTTGACGCAGTCCTCCCCTTTCAGCTTCTGGCTCAACCTCTCCGATATTTTCCTGGCCAGCTCCACGATGCTGGTCCTCCTCGCCCCGTCATACTCCGACACCCGAATGTTGCCCACGTACCACATGAGCCAACAGGCCAGGCTGGCGAAGATGATCAGGGAGCCCGTGTAGATCAAGAAGTCGCCATAGAAGGTCCCCTCAAGCCGCAGGTCGCCGAAGATCCCGACGAAAAGCAGAACCAGGCCAAGGATGTCAAAGGCCACGGCGAGGAGGAAAAAGGGCAGGCAGGTTCCGATGAGCTTGATCGGGTCCATGGTGGGATTATCGGAGCGGAAAGAGGCTTCAGGATCCAGCGGGACGCTTCATCCTTTGTACCTGAGCGGATCGGGGCTGCGCACCTGGACAGAAACGCCCCACCTTAAGATAAACAGACGAACCCGCACCGAGGAAAAGGCAGCTCCTTTATTTTCCACAACACCACTGAAGCCTGAGAACAAGCAAAGCAGCCGGCAGCTGCAGGATTTCCAGGATGCAAACAGGAGCGGCGCCCAGATTAACATATTATTTGCTTGTCAAATTTATGATGCACAAGGAACTAAACGCCTTCTGACATGTTTTCTTTCCAAAAAGCAACACACAAAATCTGTTTTCTCTTCCCAATCCTACGGAAGAGGATTAGGGCCACTGAAAAAAATAAATAAATAAATTTATTT